CTCGTAATTCAGAGTAACCTTACATGAGGAGACGTCTTAGTCATTATTGATATTTTATATGAGATTTGACCTTACAGTTATTGACCTGGGTTTGATGAGGCAGGAAACCTAGCTCATGGGAGAATATGAGCTCCATTCATTTATGTATTTATCCAACTCATATTTTCTTATATTCTTGATACTGGGGATACAATGGTGGACATGGTTCTTATAACTTGCAACCTACTTGATGAGAAAGACAATGTGCAAATAAACATCACAGCAAGTAAATATTTATAGCATTGGCCAAGGGCTTTTGAGGGTTGCAAACAGGGCTGTATGACAGGGAATGACAGTGATATAAATAGATGCCCTTGAGAACTTGCACCAAGGGTTTGTGTAAGAATAGTCATTAACTTCACCTGTAATAGGAAAGATTGGGGTTCTGCTAGATAAAGAAATCATGGCATACCTGTGCAATTGAAAATTTTTTAAATGAGCTATACCCGAAGTTCCTACATCTGACTGCTGACTTCATTCACTCGCACAGGTATGCTGTCTTTTCTTTATCTAGTTGAATCCCAATTCTTTCCTATTACAAGTGAAGTAATTGTCTTATCAATTTCTGTATCTAAAAAGATTTTTAAATAATATATTTGTATATTATTTTTACATTCTGGAAATTTATCCACCAACTTTATAACAGTAGTTATGTCTAGTCAAAGAGGACTCAACTTGATCAGTAATATTTATACTTTTTTCAAAGGAAGTATTGTTGTTGTTGTTAAGTGCTGTGAAGTTGGTTCCAGATCATAATGACTCTCTATAGGGTTTCCAAGGAGCAGCTGATGAGCTTGAACCACCAACCTTGTAGTTCAAATAGATTCCTGCAATTGCATATTAAATTCTGGAAATTCCTTAATAAAGAAAATAGTGGGATGAGGTTGTCTGAGAAACTCTCTGGCATTGAGGCTGAATCCTGAAGGAAGAAAAGAGTGGGTTTTGGGAGAGTGGGAGAAGAACATCCCAGACTGAGGGAATACCATATTCAGTGGCAAAGGGAGGAAGGCTTGTTGTGCCTGCGTCATTAACTTTGAAGTCGAGAGGCAAGACTACAGCATGTGCATGGGCTGAGAGGCTGCCTGGAGAAGGGAAGTTGAGTTGCAGTCAGCAGGGTCTGGTCCTGCACAGAATCTGGTACTGGTTTGGCATGCTGGGGTCAGCTGTGCACATTTGAAGAAGTGCCTGACTACCCAGTGGGTAAAGATTGGAGGTGAGGGAGAGCAGAAGCCAGTGGTTGTTTCTGCAGAACTACCAAGAAAGCTTAGATCAGGCTGCGGTTCTCAACCCTGTAACATATCTAAAGTTACTTATCCTTGGAATTCTACCCCTGAACAGTCTAATAGACTTTTTTGAAGATCAAGCCTGTGTATTCACGTTAAAAACAAACAAACAATATATCTATTGATATATCTTGAGAGTGAGAATCACTGGTTGCCATTAGCCCTGGAGAACTGTGGAAGGTTTGAGTCACACATTGAGAAAGAATCAGTGGCTCTTGCTACTGATCTTGAAGGTCCATCTTTCTAGACCAAGCTAAGCCTACACCTGTTTGGGACCCAGTGGAAACTGAGACTGCAGGACAACGTGTGGATTTCAGATAAGCATTTAGTTCCATTGATGATGATTTCAGGAGATAATCCAAGCCCATTGCTGTCCTTTTTTCTCTTCCTGGGACTCCTGGTGGGGTGCTGTAGGATCAGCACTGAACTGCAAACTACAAGGTCAGCAGTTCAAACCCACCAGCTACTCCTCAGAAACCCTATACAGGGTCACTGTGAGTTGGAATCTACTCAACGGTACTTAACCCACAATAACGTTACCACCATTTAATACAATTTGTTCCTCATTGTATCTCCACCAGCAGATGGTCAGCGAAATAGAAAATAAATACTACCCAAACAAGTCATGTGGTCACCGCTGGTAATTTGGAGGCATGATTTGAGGGGGTAGAAAATAGACTATGAGGTTGGTGTGAAGAACCTTGGCTGAAATGTAAGATTTGGTGTTTATCTGTAAATGTCAATTATCCTATACTTTATTACCATATTGAGTTGGTTGTGGTGTGGTGAAGTCCAATGCATATGAAAAGGCAATTAGAAGTTCCAGAATCAAACTGAATCATGAGTTAGAGATTCCTACACACTAAAACGTTGAAACATATTTGGTCTCTTTATTCATGGTGATGAACATTTGACATCTTCTTCTTTTTTAAAAAAAATTTATGTTTTTATTGTGAATTGAGTGATAGTTTACATGGGAGAGCATCAGCTTTACATTCATCCTATCATATTTCATTTCATTGCAATGATTACAATCTCCATGCATCATCATTCAACAACATTTGCTTCCAATCTCTCTCTCTTTTTGCTTTTTGTATGTACACCAAAGCACTCAGGAATATATAAATATTCAAACAAACTTCCCAGCTGCCAGCACACAGCCCCTCTCCCTCCTTCAGTTGAGAGTCCCCAGCTGCTCCTTCTCTCCATGTCATCATCTCTGCCTCCATCTCTGGCATCACTGCTTCTCTGGATAGGGTCCCACACTCTGCTCTTCTCCCTTGATGGTCCCAGGGTCCTGGACTGCAAGATCAACCACTCCCCTCCTTTTGTTACAAAACATTTACTGTTACATTTTCAACATTCACAATCAGTCCTGATAACAATTATTCACTATTGAACCACAAGAGTCTTATCCCCATCTCTCTTTCACCAGTCCCATCTAGACAGGTTGGAAACCACTCAGTAGAGATTCTACCTTCCCCCGCACCCTCTGAAACTAAGCCCCCTCTTGAAACTTTGGAAGCCAGTCACTTTATGCTTTTGTTGCCCTCCCCCCCCATTTTGGGTGTCCAGTGTCTAAGTTGCCCATTCCTGTCAACCCAGTGTACAGAGAGGGTGAGAATGATCCTTGCTGTAAAGATTCATTCCCTCTTTTGAGCTACTGCATACGTAAGTATAGGTCAAGTTTATCAAACTGTAGCAGATTATACTTTTTCCCTCTTCTTCCTTGTTCTAGTTGAGTTCTGATCATCCAGCCATTGAAGCCAGATCAAGTGGGTACTATCTGCAAGTATGGACTTTCTTGTGTACCTCCCTTTCCTTCATATCAACTGGACTCTTGACTCTCCACTTTAGTCCTCTGTGACTATGTCCATGTCCGTGGGCTCAGGAGTTCCCAGGTCTCGCTATACTGCTTGCCAACCAGGTCTTGATCCAGGTTGACAGAAGTGTATTGAACGTGGTGGAACTTAGCCGACAGCTTCATTGCTGTTTTTTCCCCACTTCCCCTTATCGGTAGGCCAGTGTGGTCACTAGCAAGATTACATGCCTGCTCATGCATTCCCTTTGAGTCTCAGGTTTGGAATGGGTTGTACCCTGAGGGGACTTGATGGTTTGCCTTGATGGCTCCCCAGTGAACAACTGGCTTGTTCTTGTAGTAGTCAGTCAGACTGCCATTATTGTTTTTTATTTTTCCTGCTGGTGGTTCCTTTAAGAAGTATCTTCTGTTCCTTTAGCTGCTTCAGGCTGGTCTGCTTGATATCTGCTTCTTAAATATGCACAGATAGTATCTCTTTCATTCCCAACTAGGGGTATTTCACACTTTAATATCTTACTCTTCCCATTTGTCAAAACCATGGACACTAGAATGTGAGTGAATTAGAAGTGCCATTATGTGAAACATGTAAAAGCACAGTTGACAAGAAAAAAACATATTAGACTAGTACTCATATAACTTCGGTAAGCAGGAAAACATGTTTAATGCCCACACAATTTTGTTTCTATAGCTATAACAGACCATCAGAGCTGGAAACTCCCATTCTATTTTTACTTTATTGGTGAGAGAAGAAGCCTCCAGGAGGGTTCTGAATTGACCAAGCTCTCAGGACCAAGGCAGAGCAGACCCAGGACAGAGTTGTTTTCTTCTCCCATCGCATATTCCAGAAACCTCAGCCTGGAATTGTTCACAAGATCCCTGCTCTTCCCAGCAGTTCTTAGGAGAATTGCAGTCTGCCTAGCTATTCTGCTCTCTCGGAATTCTGAGAGACATTTAAAACAATTAACTGGTATCCACTGCTTGTTTTGTTAAGTGCAGTCCAGTCAATTCCACTCAGGGTGACACTGTATACGGTGTTTTCTTTTGTTTGTTTTTGTCTTTTTAAATTTTTTATTGTGGATTAAGTAAAAGTTTACAGGGCAGATCATCAGTTTTACATTCAACAAGTCATATACTTTGTTTCATTACAATGATTATAATCCCCTCCATGTACTATCAGTTAACAGTATTTCTCTCTATTCATTTTAGCTCTTTTTTTTCTTTTTTTTTTTTCTCTTTCTTCTTTAAACACTCAGGCATATATAATAATTTACACCACCAAAGGGCAAATTCTGCAAGTCTGCCTCCTGGCTGCCAGCTCTTAGTCCCTCTCTTCCCATGAATCTAAAGTCCTCAGCGGCTCCCTCTCTCCATGTCCCCATCTCTGCCTCCGTCTCTGGTGTCACTGCTTCTCTGGATAAGGTCTTGCATTCTACTTGTGCTTTTCTCACTTGATGGTCCTAGGGTCCTTTGTTTCTGGACTGTCAGATTAACTACTTCCCTGTTTTTGTTATAACTTCTACCTTTATAATTGTGACAGTCACAATTAGTCATGATAGCAGTTACTCACTATTGAATCATAAGAATCTTGTCCCCATCTCTTCCCACCAGACCCATCTAGACAAGAAGAAAACTTTTCAGTGGGGACTCATTCTTTCCCCCCACCCTCTTAAACTAAACTCCTTCTTGAAACCTTGTAAGCCAGTCACTTCGTGCCTTTATTGCTCCCTCATTTTAGGTAGCCAATGTTTAAGTTGCCCGTGCCTATCTACCCTGTGTACAGAGGGGATAGCATTGATACTTGATGTGAAGACTCCTTCCCTCTCTGTTGGTATTTAGGGTCACTACCACCATGAGTATAGGTCAAGTTCATCAAATTGTAGCAATTTACCGTCGCTTCTTTGTCAAAAATTTTTTTGTTTTATCTTCCTCTAGTTGAGTTCTGCTTATCAAGCCACCGAGGCTAGGTCAAATGGTTACTATCTGCAATTTTGGGTGTTCTTGTGCATCTCCCCTAACTTCATATCCATTGGATGCTTCAATCTCAGCTCCAGCCCTCTGTACTTGTCTATGGGCTCAGGTGTCCCCCAGGTCTCACCATACATCAGACTAACCAGCTCTTCCTCTTTTCTCTCATCTCCAGGTTAACAGGAGTCTATGGGACATGGTTGAACTCAGTCCCATTTCTTCATTGCTGCCTTTCCCCCTCTTCCACTCACTCGTAGACCAATGTGGTTGCCAGCAAGCTTACATGCCTGCTCAGGTTGTTCCCTTTGAGTTTCAGTCTTAGAGGGGGGTATTGTCCTAAAGGGACTTGATTGGTTGCCTTGATGGCTTCCCAGCAAACAACTTGCTTACTCTTTTTTGTATAGGGTTTTCAAGGAGTTGCTGGTGGATTTGAACTGAAAACCTTGCAGTTCAAACAGACCTTGTGTTCGAGTGCTTATCCTACAGTGCCACATCAGGATTCGTTGCTTAAACTAAAGTTTTTCAAAAATGTATAATCAAGGCACATATACCATATTGAGATATTTCTTCATCTATAGTTATCACTGGGTTTATTTGCCTTTACATTAGAAGAAACCTACAGCCCAGATACTGATTGTATTTTTTCCTACTGATGCTTGTACTCTACAAACTTGAATTCCATTTCATTAAACCACTCTGTATTTTCAGAAAAAACAATATGCTAACTTTAGTGGTATGTTATTCTAAAACAACAATAAAATAATGACTTATGTATTTGGTCCTGGACAGTAATCCAGCTTTGGGGGCCAATTTGATATCCGTGGGCTATACTTTATATTCCTGCTAAATTTGACTTTGCTAGAGGCATAATAAATACTTTCCTGTCTAACTTTGGGTTCTCACCATGGAAACATCAGAGCAACAGCTGAGCTCTGGTAGATGTCTTTTCATTCTCTTGGCTGGTAAAAATCTTTGAGGGGAGCATTGTTTTGTTATTTGATGGATAACAAAACTTTTTAAATGAAACCATTGCTTCAGTTCATCAGGAATTTGTCTTAACTGATTAAGATCATTAATTGGACATTTTCTAATCTTGTCTTGAGCCCCTGGTAACCTAGAAACAACCTAACATTAACAGAAAATGTGAGTCACTATGAAGCTAAATTCAAGCTGCAACTTAGTGTTCCTGAGCGCCAAGCAATTACCCATACAAACAGAGCCCAAGGAGCACGTGATTGCCTTAAATTTATCAAAATATTTCTACAGAGTATTTTATTCATCTAGTTATAATTCTGTTTTATAGAATTAAATGGGGCATTAATATATCTATGTGTTATCTAAACCTTAAGACCATGATTTCTAACCAGTTGTCACAAATGCCAAGAGACTGAAACCCTTGACCCTTGTGGCCACCAGGCAGATCTGAGGTGAATAGACCCCTGAGCCTTGTCTTTTTGCCCTAGTATGCTGTGCACATGGCAGCATTTGTCTGTGTGAGGACAAAGAAGCAGCCTCAGAAGACTATTGCTTAGAAGGAACGAATCAGTGATAAAACTGGTTTAGATTCTGTTTCAGTTGCATGGGTAGCCTGGCATGGTAGAAAGGACACTGGGCTGGACATTAGGGGACTAGCAAGTCATGTATGACCTTGCCCTCTCCTTATCCGTAATCTGGGGAGATTAGACAGATCATCTCTAAATCCTGTTCAACCTTGTTCTTTGACCATCCATAGTGAGTGCCTCAGCATTTGGCCCAGTGTGAAGTCAACAGTGCCAAATAACTACAACAGGTAGCAAGAACTTAGTAGATGAACCTGCAGGCTGGGTCTCTTGAAGAAACAAAGGGAGCAACTCCAGGCAGGCGATTACAGATAATGCTGTCAAGAACAGTGCTGTACTCAGACCCTGGTATTTGTTTACTTCTCAGATCATAGGGAGGGTTTCTCAGGTTCAGCACTATTGACATTGGAGAGTAAATAATTCTTTGTTGTGGGGAGACCCTGTGTATTTTAGGATGCTGAGAAGCATCCTTGGCATGCATCCACTGGATAATAGTAAGAATCTCTCCCTCCCAGTTGTGACAATTGTAAACTGTGTCTCTGTTGTTACTGTTGTTTAGTGCTGTCGAGTCAGTTCTAACTCATAGCGACTCGGTATAGGATTTCCAAGGAGTGGCTAGTGGGTTTGAATCACCAACCTTGTGGTTAGCAGTCTAGTGCTTGTACTAAATCACCACACCAGTACTATTAGATATATACCTAGGGCAGTTGTTCTTAGCTGGACCACTGGACCACAATGTTGGTGGTTCAAACCCATCAGCTGCTCCTTGGAAAAGCTATGAGTCTAAACTGGCTGGATGGCATTTAATAACAACAACAGTAATATAAAATTTGAGCCCTGGTGTGGTTGTAGGATTAGTACCAGACTGGTAACCACCAGGTTGACAATTCAAACCCACAGGTCACTCTCAAAAACATTATACAGGTTTGCTGTGAGTTGGAACTGACTTGATGACACTTAGCAAGAATATGAATATTTAACTTAGGATAGTGCCAATTATTTTGCCAAAATGGTAAAATCAATAAATATTTGGAGTCCTGGTGTGGTGCTGTGCAATCATCACTGGACTGCTAAGCACAGGTCAGTGGTTCAAATTGGGTCACCATGAGGTGGAACCAACTTAATGGAACTTGACAACGAGAACAACAATCAGTAATGTTTAAGAGCCAGTTGATCTCCAAGGGGATTTCAAGAAGTTCATTGAAAAAGTCCATTATTTTTCAGTTCCGTTTTCCCATGGACTTTTTGAAGTCCCTCTCATATGTCTACTTTAGTATTTGTTATTATCAGACTCCTTAATGTTTGCCAAGTAGTTAAACAAATAGGCTCCCACTTTGGTCTTGATTTATAATTCCCTGATATCTAGTGAGGTTCAATATCTTTTCATAAAAGTTTATTGGCCACATTCACATATTCATATAGTTTTTTTCATTCTTATAGCTGTTTTTTATTGCCTTAAAAAAAAATCCACTGTTCTATAGTCTTCGGGTGAGTTTATATCCATTATCTGTATTGTAAATACCTCCTCCCACTTTTATTTTTTACTTCTCATTCTGATTGCTTGGGTCCATTTAACTTTGTTTTAAATGCTTGTCTTGTGCTTTTGAACCAACTCAGCAACATCCAATTTTTGTTTGTTTGTTTGTTCTGTGAAGCCTAAGAAATGTGTTATTGAACCCCAAACTTGAGAAAATTTCATTGGCTTTGATGAAAACCGTGCCCTGAAAAATTGGGCAGGTTGGAGGCTTTTAGTTTGCTTTTCCGACGTGAATAGGGATGACCTGAAGTCTAGGGTTGTTTATGATGGAAAGGAAAATACCTGACTGGTTCAGAACAAGCCTGAGCCCTGGAGTTGCTGTTGATCAATTAAAAATAAGCAAACCAAATGCATGTCAGACCCCTAGACGTATTTGAAGGCCAAAAGTCAAACATCCAAAATTCCGTAGCACAAATATAAGTAAAATTAAGTTATACTTTAAGAGAAAATCTAACTTAGGGAAAATGCAAAATTGTCTGGATTAAACCTCCATTCTTAAACACTATTACATTAAAAAAAAAAAAAAAAATCACTCCATTGTACTGATTTTATCATAGGCTGAAACTCTACATAAAATTCAGAACAGACAGTCCTGTGCTGTAGGAGAGGACGTTTCCTTCTCCTCGCAGGGCAAGGTCAGAGCTGTGACCACAGGACCTCCTGGAACTGGGCCTCCCAACTGCTGACTCTGAGTTGCTATGCTGCTTGCCCTTGATCCTAACCAGCCACTCATGATAGCAAGGTTCTGATACACACAAGTCAAGTGACAATTTATTGTGGGATCTGCGATTGTGTTAACTGAAAAACAGTTCATCACTTACCGCTGATGGAGGAAAGTGTTAATATTGAGTATCAATACTCAAGAAAACAGGGGAGTAGAAAATCTCCTAGAGCTGTCTCCTGGAGGGAGTTTTTATAGTGATTTCAGGAGGTATGAGATAGAGGATTTCAGGAACTCTGGTGTCTGTTTAGTCAAGGCCCTGTTGATCATCCTAGCCAAGCTGTCTCACTCCAGCTGGCACCATTAATCTCCCCAGGTGGTGGTTTTCAGTGACCATCAAAGATGTATGATTGTTTCTGTAGTCCTTGGGGCAGGGTTTGACTAATTAAAGAAAAAGAAGTGATTAGTTTTAGAGAAAACCCTTATGATGGTGGATGGCCATTGAAGACCTATTATATTGCTTTGGCTGGTCTAAAAACCCTTTTAACACTTTGGGGTTTCTCCTGTGCTGCTTCAGTTGCTCCACCCAAATAGGAAACAGCCTGGGATGTAGGTCAGGATAGCTCTCTTCAAATATCTGTAGGACAGTTACTTGGAAGAGAGAGATATAAAAAGAGACAGTTCATATAGGTGGGCATTGGCAAAGGGAAAGTATTGCTGTCTGTCAGTGGGAGGATGCTTTGCAAACTACTGGACCCTCTTCCTTAGTGTCTATTTGGGATGTTTGAGAAAAATGTCCTTAGAAGACACTACAGACATTGATGAGGAAGATGATTTTGATAGTTAATAGCCAAAATATACTGATTTGCCTACTATGTGTCAAGCCTTCTCACAGTGTCTTTACATATTTGGCTTGTATCTAGCGACTTTTCTAAATTCATGTATTAATTGTAAGACTTTAGATGGACCTTACAGATAACTGTCCTCCACTGAAAGACATAGGCAGCTTAAGACTTCGGATGTTCTTCCAGCTAGTCATCTCTCAGGGTCCCAGGAGAAATCCCCAAAGTGGCACAGATTGGGTCAACCTGGTCCAAGTAGCCAACTTTGCAACTCCCCAAGCCACATTTCTTGAGAATGAGAAAGTGTTCACCACAAAGGATGTGAAGTCCATGCCAGATTGGCCTGAATTCAATGGATTCTCACAAAAAGGGATTCAGTAAAGACTTGAGGACTCTGTGATTGCTGTAGGAGCTGGTTGCCACCAGCAACATTCACTGGATGATTCTGGATGGAGGAGGAAAGCCACCCAGGAGGCCTGTCCAAGGCCAGAAGCTCGTATTGAAAGGAGACAGAACTGTGGCATCCTGCAGTCTTGGCAGAGGAATTTGGCCCATGCTGGGTAGTGCATCTTCATGCCACATTGTAAAGTGTCCCATCTGAGAACTATCCTCTCTCTCTCCTAAGAGATTTAGTGTGCTTTGTTCATTTCAGCAAGCTGTATAGATTTCTCTTTGTCTTCCTGTGTGTCTGTAATGCTCATCTCGCTTTCCATCTTGTCTCTATGTGCATTTCTCTTTTCCTGGCCTTGTCTCAGGGTTGAGGAGGAGAAGGAGGAGGAAGAGGAAGAGGAGCAGCCAATTACAGAGCCCAATTCAGAGGAAGAGAGAGAGGACCCTGCTTCCTGTCAGGGCGAGGACAGGTACCGAGGGCTGGGCCCTCCTAGGCTCACACTAAGTTCCTGAAGCACCTTTTTTTAATCAATAGTTTGCAGCCACTTTGTAGTAAACCCCTCCCTTCTTGTAAGTTGTCCTGGTAAACCATTACTTACCCTGTATACAGAGCCATAGTGACTAGTTCTGTAGAAATAACTGAGCATGCTTTCATTAGAGAATGGCACTTTTATGCAAATACTGCCTTCCTATACCACACTTTATGGGAAATTCATCCAGTGGGTTTTCCCCTCACTGTTTCCCCACTCCCTGAATGCTTTAATTCAGTCAGATTCACAGTGACTAAAAAGGTATTCATCTCTGCTCAGAAAACGTTAGCCCTTTCAACAATGTAACACTACTAATTCCATGTGGCTCATCCAAACAGTTTTGCAAACCTAGTAGTTACTATATTCATGACTCAGATTCATTTTTTACCCATATACACAAGTATATTTTTCAGTTCATGTAGCATAGAAAAAATTCAGCGTTTGTTTTCATACCCAGAAAAACTAACCTAACTACTCAGTCCTTTGAGGAGTTTATTGTCCTCTGCTCACCTTAGCACTGGGTGTTCTTTCTATCTTGGACAATATAAAGAGACACAAATACTCTGAACCTTTTCAATTTTGTAGATATCTTCCCAAAATGAAGTCTGTGTAAAATTGATCATAGGTAATTTTCATTTTTAACCTACAATAATCATAAAATTTAATGGTTTCTTTCACTCAATTGATTGATCATGGCAAGTTGACATTTTTACTGTTTGTGTTTTCCCTACAAACAAGCAAGCCCAAAAGGATCTCGGATGCATTAAGTAAGATCTTTCTAAGTTGATTCCATACTGTCATTGCACATGTTGTTAAGTGCTGTCGTGTCAATTTCCGAGGAGCAACTGGTGAGTTGCAAGTGCCAACCTTGCAATTAACAGTCCTGGGCCCATTAATGTGTATATTGTTGTTAAGTGCCATCAAGTCGGTTCTGACCCATAGTGTATAGGGTTTCCGAGGAGCAGCTGGTGAGCTTGAACAGCCAACCTTGCAGTTCAAACAGCTTTGTAATCTGGTGCATTAACCCACAGCGCCACACCAGGACTCCTTCAGTGTGTATAGCAGTTCTCCAACAGATCCCTCGGATACTGAGGCTCACACAGTGCCCAGGGAAGGTATAACGATAACTGACAAACTAAAGATTGCTTACTCCCTCTGGAAATTCCTGTTAAAAAGTCAGCTGGGTGGGTGTACAGAGAGAAAAAGGAATAAGCCAGTGGCAGAGAATTAGCCACACAAAGAAGGACAGAGAACCAGCATTCAATAGAACCCTTTGCCCATGCAGATCTTTCCCAATTGGGGGTGGTAATTCATTAATTGGGGGTGATGATTCATTAGTTTGAGGTGGTGATTCATTAGTTGGTGATGCTCTGGGTAGAGGGGGCCCTGTTGAAAGTCCCAAGTAGGGCTAAAATTAGCCACAGGAAATTATGCAGACCATCCTTAAATACATCAGCACCACTCTAAAGGTGCTGAAAAGTGCAAGCACTGCCCACCCACATTAATCCTTAAGCCTCAGACACCTACATGGATCTGTACCTACAGAGCACATTGAAGACTCTTCCTGGAAAGGGAAACCTTCAGAGGCATACCTGTTATGCTGTTTTTGCCTAGGATTTTTATGTACATAGGTCTTCCTCTCTTGAACATGTCTCTGACTACACTGTTGCTCCAGGGCACCCTTGGTCAGAGATCGCAGTTAGGTAGTTCCTCTGTAGGCCAGGACTTCATCTTGCAAGTGCTCATTCACTGACCTTGATGCATAGATAGGTGATCTTCGTTCTCTGGGGTAAGCCTTGAAATTGCGGGAAAGATCTGCTCTTAATTCTGGTGGTATTTTCAGCTCACGTGTACTAGGTACAGGGCTGGGCTCTCTGCTGGGCTTAATTCTGGTGGTATTTTCAGCTCACGTGTACTAGGTACAGGGCTGGTCTCACTCGGATCTGCCCACCACCCAGGGAAACAGGGTTGTCCTTGTCCTTATGTGCAGGGAGGGAGAGCACCAAATATAGGGTAGGAAAGGAAACAGCTCTGTCTAGACCCAAATGGGCATGGCTGAGAGGCATTCCTACTTATTGAGCACAGTTCTTATTGAGAGATTGCTGCTGTTTTGACAAAACTAGAGTTTAACATAAATCCTCAGGTTAGAAAGGTATGTGATGACATATCTGAGTGATCTCAATCCAGTCCTCTGAAGATGGAAGGTTCTCTGACAACAACTCTGGCAGAAATTGGCCCGCCTGAAGGGGTCTGGAAATAGAAACTCTAGGGTTTCAGGGTGGAGATAGGCTCTGGGAAAAGTCTGAACTGGATGAAATGTGTCATCTTCATCTTGGCCTCTCCTTTCCCCACTCTTTATATACCTTGCTGGCATTTCTTTTCCTTCCCATTTCTCCACACCTGCTTTAATCAAATAATCTGAAAGCAATTCAATGCATATGAAAGTATATAAGCCTAAGTACAGGGCTTTGTGGAATACTTCTTCTTAACAGGTAGGTCAGGTCTTCTGTTTCACGAAACCGAGGCCGTGAAGCTCATATTGTGGAGAGTTAGAAACCAATACAGCCAGTAGGGAGAAACCTGGGGAGGAGGGGTCGGTGTGTGCAGAAGGGACCTTGGGAGCCATCAGATTCCCTCACAAAGGCCAGCATATGCTCGGAGCCAGCCTGGTCTGGAGAGACGCTTTCTTGCACTCTGAAAGTGTCACCTCCCAGATCAGCACACCCAGGGCATCAGGGTTAGCAGACCAACGCTTTTGGTGATGGGCTGCACTTGAAGAAACTGCTGGACTCTGAAGCAGTGGCCATAACAGTAGCAGGTTTCTTATGTGTCTTTTTCTCTTTCCTAACCTTTGCTCCTTTCTCCCTTTTCTTTCCTTCTTTCCTCCCTTCTGGTGGACCTCTTCTCTGCAGCGAGCCCAGCCCTGTCTCAGAGCAGAACCCTACCACAAAGCATGATGCTCCCAACAGGCCAGCCCTCCCAGAATCCCAGAGAAAGCAGCTTCCTGACAACACTGCAGTGGAGAGCCCCTTGGGCAGTGGGGCCTCAGGGCCTGCCCTGCTGCTACCCCCGACTTCTCAGACCACCTCCACTTCTACCTCCACCACAGCTGGCCCCCTAAAGGCATCACCAACAGTGGTAGAAAAGCTGCCCTACGTGCCCCACAGCCCCTTCCACCTCTTCTCCTATGACTTTGAGGATTCTCCCTTATCCACCAAAGAAAAGGACACAGAGTCCCAGAAGGAAAACAGGTAGATCTGGTCCTCATGGTTAAGGGATAAGTGTTTGTGCTGCATGCATCCTGGGGCATGTCTGTGTGGATTTTAAGCAGAGAGCAGTTGAGGCAGAGACATGTCATGACCCCTGACTAAATGCCATGCAGAAAACTGCCCTCGGTCTGAGCTAAAGAGCTCTTGTTCTAATCCAATTAACAAATGTTGTAAAGTGCAATAGAGTGGGTTCCGACTTATAGTGACCTTGTATAGGGTTTCCAAGGAGTGGATGGTGAGTTTGAACACCATTCCAAGGAGTGGATGGGTGACTTTGTGGTTCAAACTGACTTTGCAGTCGAGTGCTTTATGCTAAAATTCCAGACCAGGACTAATGGGTTTTAAAATAAAAATATTAAAAATACATTTGATCTGTCAAAGTCTCTATGTCTTGAGCCCTTCCTTCTGGTGTGGGAGCTTTGACCTACGGAATACAACAAGGTGTTTTGCTATCTTTGCTTGCTTGCAACATTTTTAGTGGCGTTTTCCTTTCTTTCACAGTTCCACTGATTCCGTCCAGTTGAACACACATTCTGCCTCTGAACCTTACAACTTTCGGTCTTTCTCTTCTAATAGGTGGGTGTCTTTTCTTTTTTTTTTTTTTTTCATTTTTAATTTCCTTTTTATTTTCAATAGATTCCTGTTTTATAGTCTAATGTATGTATTTTACTTTTTAAAGATTGATCATTGCTTTCCATAAGATGGCTAATCACTGCAGTTTGGATCACTTTGTGGGAATTCTTTCCCAGAAAAACTGATTCACTCTGTGCTCACCAGATCCCAGGATGCAGGAGCAGTGGGAGGCATGCAGATCAGTACTCCCCAGGGAGTCTTTGCAGACACTTGTCTATACCAGCTGTTCTTCATCGGCATGAATGCAGATCTCCCGGCCAGGTCCAGACAGAGCAGAGAGGGTTTGCGTATTTTCAATATGCAGTTGTTCAAAATCAATAATTAGTAGTTCTGACATTCATGCCCATCTTTGAGTAATGCAAGCTAATGCTGACTGATTGAGCATTTATGATGAGCCAAATTTGATACTTTCATGAAATGAATAGTTGTATCCCTTAATGCCTTGGCGCTGTGGGTTAGCGCACCAGACAGTAAAGCTGTTTGAACTGCAAGGTCAGCAGTTCAAGCTCACCAGCTACTCCTTGGAAATCCTATATAGGGTCACTATGGGTCAGAAATGACTCAATGGCACTTAATAACAACAACAGCCTTAAATGCAGGTTCTACTCCCAAGCCCATTGTTACCTAGTCGATTCCAACTCAGTGCAGAGTAGAACTACATCATGTGGCTTCCTAGGAGTCCTCATGCGGCACCTCAGGATAATGCCCTGAACTGCAAGGTCGGTCGGAACTGCACAAAATTGGCAGTTCAAACCCACCAGCAGCTCCTCGGAAACCCGTTCCAGGGTTGCTTTGAATCGGAACCAACTTGATGACATTGAACAACAACAAATCTTTACAGAAATAGATAACCAGGCTCTTGTGAGGTGGCTGGTGGATTTGAACTGCTGACCTTTGGACTGTCAGCGAAGTGCTTAACCATCAACCACTATGCCACCACAGATGAGGAAACTGAGGCACAGAGATGACAAGTAACTTGGTTAAAGACACTCAAGTGGAAAGTAGTTTCAAGCCCAGGCAGCCTGCCCCAGAGTCTGATTCTAACAGAAATGATACAATGTGCTGCCTTTCTTTCCAGCAGTCTGTCCATCACCCTGCCTCCTGGTAGGGCTCATCCACACAATATATCCTAAGACAAGGCCTTCACCTGGCTGCTCCCTGCTAGAGTTCTCCCAGCAAGTCATCCTTAGTGAGATACTCATTGTCCAAGTCCTCTCTGTAGAATCATCAAATATTTCAATCTTCATCCATCTGGCCCTGAAAAAGTTAGGGGTTCCCACTGCCAATGTGCCAGGCAAGAAGCTGCACCTTGTTTTGAGGGAAAATTTATAGGACCTGGACCTGGAGGGCAGCTCATAAAAATGACCTGTCTCTCCAAGAGTCAGGCTTTCTATCTAATAAGTGGAGGGAATTCATCTAGAACTGTGGAGGGGGTTCTGTTTTGTGGCTTTCTTCCTATACACAACCTAAAATACTTGAAATTTCCTTCAAAGTTTTAAGTAGGCATTCTCAAGTTTTTAATCAGAAGTTTGAATAGTTGCAAAGGATGCAATTTGCAAATTTCATACATATCCTTTAAATGAACTGTTGTCAAAACCATGGGACTGCAGATTTAACCAACGCCTACATAGACCTAATTGGCAAAGCCGTTGTCAGTCAAATGAGACCTAATTTCTGTCAGAAAAAGTCTTCATGTTTTGATTCAAATGAGCAAGCCAACATGCATCCTGGAGAGAAACATCTTACTTCTGGAGTCTAATTCACCCTGAATAAACAAACAGTTGAGAGCAGCTGCCAAGTCAACCAGTAATAGCAAAATAGGTGGGCAGACAGAGTGAGGCAGGAGACCATGCTCTGAGATTTTCTCTCAATTTTAAAAAACAACCACCACCTTCTTCCTCCTTAGAGTTCATTTATGACATGTTCCTATCCTATTCCTTTGCTCCTCAGCCTGGAGGTTTTCGCAGCTGAAGGCAATACTCCACAACTGCCATTCAGTTGAGAATGCTCCTTTTTTACCCCCATAAAGATAAAGTGAAGGCAATTAAGGAAGGGGAGGCAGGAAAACAGAACTGGAAGACCCCAGGAGTAGCCACAGGCAGAACCACTTTAAGGAAAAGCAATTATAGAACGTGAGGAACTGAAATTAGCTCAAGTATGAACACTTGTAAACTCTCTCCAGGCGTCTTACAGGACTACAATTCTGGGATTGCTGTGACTTCCACAGAATTCGTACAGAACACTTCTAACGTGACTCTTACTTCCTCCAAGAACAATGTCTGTGTGCCCATTAGCAGCTGACAACTTCATCTTTCTCAATAGGGCATTGTAAGCCCACAGTGCTGATCTGAGACTTCCTGGTGATGATCTTACAGCGTCTGATGAGGCATTCGTGGGCCTCAGGTGCCTCTAGCTTGGCCTTATAGTCACAGGGATGGGAGCTGTAGATACATGTAAATAACCTAAAGGGATATACACATAAATTGAGGGGAAACTACCACATGCTTACAAATGAGAATTGACTTCAATTTAACTTATCAAAGTTTAAAATGTTTATGTCATTGTTCTGACAGGAATTTAAATACTGTACAAATATTATCTGTACCTATTAAATTCTCCGATGTCCCCTCCCTGTGGTTTTTGTGGATCTGTGTAGTCACAGATTTGATTACTCAGTGGTCGACTGCAATTGAATACATTTGTAATAGAGCCCAACCACTTAGTCATTAGAAAGAGAAAAAAGAAAGAAAAAAAAAATTGAACAGTAAATTGTTTGCTCTAGTTCGTTTGAAATTGAGAATGAAAATTGAACAGGCAATAATACATTTGGACTAATTGCTTTGCCATAAGGAAAATCAAAAGAGGGGAAAACACATTATGCTTGTTTTAGTTCTGCAACATCATTTGCACATAATTTTAGCAGAGTAATTCTGTTAAAACAGTCTGTGGATGTCCACTTGGGCTGGAAGGGGATTGTTTTAGATGCTTTACTAGAGTACCAAGCTGAGAGACCAGGCAGCGAGGTGGAAACAGTCTGGGCAGAGGGGGCAGTATCAGGTGCCTAGTCTGTCAGAAGCTTCCAGAAGCCACGGGTCACAGCATTCATCCCATCCTGCATCACAGTGCTTCCTGCCCTGCTTCTGTCCCTCTTCTTTGCTTATTAGTTTTTTCCTCCCTTCTCCGCTTCTTTGTGTATGTGCTTTTTTTTGTACTTTATATCCTTTGCTTTTCTACCTCTCTGCAGCTTATATTCTAAGGGTCCTCTTGAAAAATCAAACCAATACTCACGGGAGAGAAAAGTTATAAACCTCTTGGACAGATGGAGGGTCGGTTTTTAAAGAGAAGAGAAAAGGAATGGCCAGAAACCAAGTCCCATGAAGGTAGTATGTTAGCACAGGAGGATGATAGGGACGAAATTGTATGGGCCAAAATCTCCATCTGCCTGGTACTGAGCAGATGCCTGGCACATGATACCAAAGAAAGAGGGAGAGCCAGGCCAACCAGAGTTAGAAATAGGGGATACACTTGGGGGAGTCCTATAAATTATCAATATAGGGTACATTTGAGGGTCATATAAATAAGGAGCTCTGGTAGTGTAGTGGTTACGAATCGGGCTGTGAACCTTAAGGCCAGCAGTTCGAAACTACCAGCCACTCCGCGGGAGAAAGATGAGGCGCCCCCATAAAGATTTACAGCCTTGGAAACCCTGTACAGGGTCGCTATGGGTCGGAACTGACTTGACGGCACTTAACAACAACATAAATATTTTATTATCCATTATAATAATGCAATTTGTTACAGAAGTCTGAACTCCACGTTTTAACATCTTTTCCTACACACAGTTTTTTACTTTTGAGAATACATTTAGAGTTGTGTTCAAATGCTGTAGATAATATTATATCCTGATTTTTTTATGTTGTCTTACAAAGAAACAGCTTCCATGTTATCACTTCCCCAAATCAGACATTACTGTAACAAGTAAGTAATGCACCATATTCTCTTAGCTGTTCTTGCTTTACTACTTGGTTGGATAGGTCCCAGGTTTTCACCGAGATCTAAATAATGCTCCAGTTAGATTCCCCAGAGTGGGCTTACTCTGTCAAAGGATATACCCATTTTGAAGGCAAAATGCTTTACAGAGGTCTACCAGTGTTTAACTCCACACTGTTGATAAGTATTTGATCTGGATTCATCATGTGCAGGGATGTCTTTGTGGACATACACCGTAGTGACGCGAGCTCCCAAACACCCAATACAATGTCCCTCACCAGTTCAGGGAAAGACATGAGTCCCACCCTGTATTGAGTCCCACCCTGTATTGAGTCCCACCCTGTATCTGTCTAGGCTGAGTGACGAAGCTCTCAAATCTCCTTATTTGTATTTATTTCTAATTGTCCATCCCCTGTGCAAAGGCCTCATATGATTTGTTCTCCAGGGGTGAGTTAGATGGTAATAGCTGAATAGAAACTAGTAAGGGACATCTAAAGAACGAGAGGAGAGGAAGGAAAAAACCCTCTAAAATTTTACAAATCCTGAAACTTCCAGTTGCCATCTTGTCAGTCCAACTCATAACAACACTATAGGAGAGAATAGAACTGCCCCACAGGCGTTCCAAGATCTTAATCTTTACAAAAGTAGATGGCCGCATTGTTCTTTCATGGAGAGGCTGATGGGTTCGAACCACTGATCATCAGTTAACAATTGAGCACTTAACAGCTGTATCACCAGGTCCTCTTCATTGAAATTTAGTGGCTGTAATTTTGGTTCAGGGAAAAGGCTGGATGAAACAAGAGTACATAAATCACTAAAAGGCAGGCCAGTCCGGAAGATCCTGGAGAAGTTTTCATTGATTACACAATAGGGTTACATTTAATGAATACAATTGATTAAAAAATACCTAAAACTGCCTTTGGGGGTGGGGGGAAAGGAAAGGTGATTCTTTAAGCAGTCCAATATTTTCAGACCTTTTATGAAATTAACACCAATTGCAGCTTCAGGAAAGGCAAGGAAAATCTTCATGGTTTGAAAATAATTTAGACTCAATTCATGTCAGCAAATAGTTGTGTTATTGTTACATGCCATCAAGTCAGTTCCAACCCATAACAACCATGTATAGGGTTTCTGAGGAGTGGCTAGGAGCTTGAACCACTGACATTGCAATTCAAAACGACATGGCAGTCCAGCTCATTAACCCACAGTGCTACAGCAGGACTCAAACAATAGTTATAACATACATTTAAAATGACAGGAAATAGGACATTTTGTTTAAACCCTTTTTCGTGAATCCGCCTGTCTAATGATTTCAGATGGTGGATAAGTTCTCTAATAAGAAGTCATCAAAACAAAGCAGTTAATAAATCTCTTTGAGGAGAATAATCCCTAACACTGTTAGCATTTCAGACCTGCTTTCTCTTGCAAACATTAAAATGGTTTGCTACATTTTACCCATGTGCTCATTTGTATTCTGTCTCTGTCTTTCTCCCAACTTAAACTTCTGCACTCTTCAGATACAGCAGCTTTGGCAACAACTCTTACAACTCCTCAAGACCCTCTGGAACTAGTGTGCCCACCACCCCTACATCATCTCTTTCGCCCCCTCAGGAGGCCAGGCTGGACAGGTGGGTTTTACAAGATGCACACTGATGTCTTCACTGTCCTTGAGTAAGAGCAATCATTTGATTAAGATTGGTTAAGCAAAAGGTATAAGTACAAGATACAGTCTAAAGTATTTTCCTTTAGCAAAAACAGTCTGAACGCAGAAAATGTTTTCTCTTCTTTTCAACCCTACTTATCTAATAAATGCATATTTTATTAGAGGTGATATTTTATTGTTATTATCTCATCTCCTTATGCATACTTTCCATAGAAAGTATAAAAATTTATTCTAAAATATTTCAGTGCAAATGTTTTGATTCATCCTTTTCAGCTAGCTCTGGGTCTTACATCAGCTCTGTAATTTGCATTATGCACGTCAGTTTTCACCTTCAGCTATTAAATCTATGTAAACCAGGAGGTTGTGGGCCCATTAAGGTGTTGTGCAATTAGTCTAGGACCTACCAGAACAGAAAAGAATTGTATGGGTACACGGAAGGAATTTAACTTGGCATGAGTATTAGACCACCAGAAATGAACTAATTATTACTCCTGGAAGCAAATGATGCATTACAAGGGAACAGTAAGAACTGTAATTTGAGAACAATTAAAAAATTACCTTTATATGGCCAAGTGTTGAATTAGGAAATAGATGGTTAGGGTTAGGGTTCCAACTCATTTGTTGTTGGTGGTGTTAAGTGCCGTTGAGTCGATTGCGACCCATAGCGACCCTGTATAGGGTTTCCAAGGAGCAGTTGGTGAGGTTGAACCACCAACCTTGCAGTTCAACTGGCTTTGCAGTCTGGTGCATTAACCAGCAGCGCCACACCAGGACTCCAACTCATTTGTTGTTGGTGGTAAGTACCATGAAGTCGGTTCCAACTCATAGTTACCCTGTGCAGGCTTTCTGGGGCTATAAATCTTTATGGGAGTAGAAAGCCTTATCTTTCTCCTGTGGAACAGCTAGTAGTTTCACACTGCCGACCTTGAGGTTAGCAGCCTGATTTGTAACCACTATGAGCTACCAGAGCTCATTTAATCCCTAAGGGTTAAATGCCAGTTAAACCAACCAACCTATACCTGAGAGAGTTGTTTTGATGAGCAAATACATGGAAGTAGCTCGATGAAACCCACTTGTAGAGCTTATGGGAGGAGGCACTGGAGAGGATGGTGAGCTCCCTCATACAGATCCTGTGGGACATCGGACCTGGTAAGGAATGGAATGGAATGTAGAAGATAATAGGATGTAACTTTTAGCAGCTCATGATTCACCAAAAATCTAGACATGAGCAATTCGTGGAGACATTAGCCTCAAACCCCAAATTTAAAACAAATATGAGTGATACTTCTTATTGTGATTGTTTTAACAGATAGGACAGCATCAGATCTCATTTACATCCATGGTCCTATAAGGTTATAAGACATCCTGATGGGAGAATGGGATGTAGGGGAAGTACTTTGCTGCAACTCTGTGGGGAAAGGAGGGAGGAGTCCCAGCACCCTTCCTGTGCTGGGGAAGTAGGTAGAGAAGAAAGGGAAGGGAACTGGTGGGGGTGGGGCCCTGAGGCTGATGGCTGGACTGGGAACACATGGCTAGGGGAGGGGGCAGGGACCAGGCAACAACCACGCAGGAAGCATGGCAGTGGAACCAGAGTTTTCACACAGTCCCTCGGGCATGGCTGCAGCAGCACATATCCCAAGTGATCATCCTGCAGGCTCTCTTCTATAGCTGGGGGCTTCAAAGATTGTGGGAAAATGAAACTAAAAGATAATGAAATGTTTCCACATTTTTGAAGCACCCTTGTGTATAATATGGCTGGTGTTCACATAATGTCCGAATTACATGCTGTATTTCACAAAATATATTGTGGGTGTTAAGCAACACAAACCTGGTGTCTGAAGCTTGTTTTGCTTGGAGCTTTTGGCCATTGGAGGTTTGGTGGGATGTAGAGCAAGCAAGGTTTCCCAGCCCCAGGACGAAGGGGTATCAAATGAGATCAGCCATGTGTCACAGCTGATTTCTGAAGTGATATGTAACCTTTCAGTTGGAGTGCCAGTTGCTCCACTGTAAGTAAGCACTGAACTGCAAACCACAGGGTCAGCAGTTCAAGCCAACCAGCTGCTCTGTGGAAGAAAGATGAGGCTTTTTGCTCCTGCAAAGATGTACAGCCTTGGAAACCCTATACAGAGTCGCTGTGAGTTGGTGCTTAATAACAAATAAAACCTTTCAGGGTAAAACTTAGCTTCCACAGCTTTGAGTATCCCTGGCTAGACACCTGGGGACTCAATTTGTTGTTGTTAGGTGCCATGGAGTCAGTGCTGACTCACTGTCCAATCCTAGGTCAACCTCAATATTATTGCCACGCTTGATCCATCTGCTGGGAGTCTTCCTCTTTTTCTCTGACCCTCCACCTTACTTAACATATCCTTCTCCAGTGACTGGTCCCTCCTGACAATATGTCCAAAGTATGAGAGACGACGTTTGACCATCTTGGCCTCTAAGGAGCACTCTGGCTGCTCTTCTTCCAAAATGGATCTAGTGTTTCTTTTGGAATGCATATGAGACTATTGAAAATACCATAGCTTGGGTCAGGCGCACCTTAGTCCTCAAGCTGATATCTTTGCTCTTCAACACTTTAAAAGGTCTTGTGCAGCAGATTTGCCTAATGCAATACATCTTTTGATTTCTTGATTGTTGCTTCTATGAGTGTTGATAGTTGATCCAGGAAAATGAAGTTCCTGACAACGTCAGTCTTTTTTCCATTGATAAGAATGTTGTTTATCAGTCCAGTGGTGAGGATTTTTTGTTTTCTTTACATTAAGATGCAATCCATACCAAAGGCTGTGCTTTTTGATCTTCATCAGTAAATATTTTAAGTCCTCTTCACTTTCAGCAAGCAAAGTTCTATCATTTGCATAGCTCAGGTTATTAATGAGTCTCCTCCAATCCTGATGCCTCATTTTTCTTCATAGAACCCAGCTTCTCGGATTATTTTCTCAGCATACAGGTTGAATAAATATGGTGAAAATATAACATTGTTGCACACATTTCTTAATTGTAAACCATTCAGTGTTCCCATTTCTGTTGGAACAACTGCCTCTTGGT